ACAATGTCTTGGTCCTCATAATTTTGGACCACCCTGTAGACCATAAGTAACTCTGTAACCGCTCTAATAGTTTTAAGCCTCAGAGAGTTTGGGATTTCTGGTGGTTGACGACCCTCATGGCCGTACTATTTTCACATCGGTCCTAAAATCAGCATATTCCTCCGGCCCATGACGATGTCCGTCTAGAATTTCCAATCCTTCTTTTCCACATGTGTCTCAAGATACGCAGAAATTTCAACCCTTCCTCTGTGTATTCTAAGAGACTTGTCGTTTTCGTGCTATGTTGCGGTGCATTGCTGCGCACAACCTAACTCACCTTGACCTCAAATTCTTGACTCTCTACGTTGCTTTTTGATGCAGGTCCCTAATGAGGGGATCGAAGAAACTGATACTAATCGCACAATTCAGTAGGAGCACGATTGTTGCATATCAACCCTTTTTAGGGTGAACCTTGTTATCAAATTCGTCTCGCTTCTGCTTAAAACAATAGCTATCATGTGGAATGGAATGCAGTCCCATTGGGCAACATGATCACGCTCAAGTTGCTAGCATGCTGCATTTAACAATCATTCACTGGGGAACGCCTCCGCTTCCTCATTCCTAAACTAGGAGTAATTGGCAGCGCGTAGCGCAATGGATACCTTGCGATGGCGCAGAACTAAGCTATGAAGTCTCCTTCATACTACAGCTCTCCTTCATTATTGCGCTATCAAAGAAAGGTTCTAATGTCGCCAAGAACAGCATGAGGCGTATACATCCACATGCGCAAACGCTGATCTCAAATCTGTCTAAGAACTGCCAAACGATTTGCTAAACAGAGTTATGGAAGTGTTGTAGCACATGTGGAGCAGTTGAGGTGAACGATTGCTGAGCAATGGATGACGGGTTACCAGGAGTAAACTCTTACACAAAACCCGAAAAAACATTATACAAAAGGTGAATGTTTAAAACATTTTCCCCGCCCCTAAGAAATAACAAGTATCGATGGGGTGTAATTAGACTTTTCCGGTACCCAGAATTTTCTGAAGTGTAAATATATAAAACCTTTTTATATGAAGCAGAGAGACCTGTGCAAGAAAAGAAATGCTGCCAAAAAGTGCAATAAACTCAAGAACAACTTTGTTAGCAAAAGTGTGACGAAAACAGCTTGGCTACAAATGAAAGCCCAGTCATTTGAAAGCTACTGTAAAAATTAAAAGACATGGGATCTATACCTGACTTAGTTCGCAAGAATCGATGCAACCTCCGCAGCACTCTTTCTCGAGAGCATTCCATGCTCCTTCATCGATGACTCCATGAGCGTAGGCAAAACGAACTGAGGTGTCGATGAACAAGTTAGCAGCCAGCCAAGCATTTCCGAGCACAATTCCCTGGGTTGTGTGACACTTTCGAACACTTGCACATTGCGCATTGGCGCCACGTTGCCTTACCTTGAGATTGATGGGAAAATCCTTTTGGCCATCAAGTATTCTTGCCGTCAATGTCGGCACGTATACACCG